TTGTTGGGTTACAGATCCTTCGAGGGATAATCAATGTCGAGCGCTTCATGTGGAGTTTCAGTTGTAGGGAGGCACTGGCTTCGTGGGGTGATACCAGTGGACTCCATGCCTTGTTCCGATTTGGACAAATCCATAACTATGATGAGAAATCAATCAGTAGATCAATACCACGCTACTAATACGCCTCAGCATTAACACTCCTCATTGCTCATGAACTCCATATCGGCAACACACGAATCAGGGGCCTGTGGCCCACAAGCTCCGAATTCGCGGGGATACCCTACCGCAGGAAAGATGGCACTGGACATTGGGGGGCCTCAATGGGCCAACGGGAACCTCTCTGTTGCCGATGTGATGACTGTGCCGTCGGGCCAATAAGTCGTAGTCTTCTTCCCAGGGGCAGGAGGCAGCAGTCCGGTGGCCTTCTCTGCCTCGAGTCAGGTGGCGACTACTTAGCAGCAGTTCTCCTTGATGTCACGACGATTTCTCTCTCGGCTGCAGTGGCGACAAGATCACGGTACGCTTATAGTCAGACAAATCGAAAGGAAACTCCGTCCGCGAAAAATTGACACCAATTTTTTATTGAAAAACCAGAACCACATCCAAATGGACACAAGTGCCACTAGTCAGAACACTTATGACTCCCTAGAACACAATGACTATTTCATGTTTTCCGAAACCGCGCTAGCCTGCCCTCCATAACACCATCTCGTGTATAAGATGAGACTAAACTTCTACGGACAGCCCCAGCTGGCAACTATTCACAGAGCTGTTGCGCAGCACACTGTCCCGGGGTGGGTGGGTGAAGCTTGTACCGCGCTCTGTGAGGATCCTTCATTCAGGGTCGGGGTCATGATGTCTCGGCCAGCCGTCCAGCGGAGGATGGCGGTGGCGGCAGCGCGTAACCCTCGTAGATCGGGGACGTTGTGTGGCTGACACCATCTCCAGTCCAGCTCACGATACCTGGCTGGATTGACCACCCGTGCGGCCGGAACGCTGTACCGCCAGGACAGCCTGTGCCTAGGTCGCGTACATTGGCTGGCGGTGGCTGGTGGTTGAAGGTCCTCGAACATGATCTTTGAAAAAAACGAGGCAAACCAATACGACAGGTTACTCGTGAGCACTCACACCATTACGTTGCGTTCCGGCCGGCAATAATCAACCTATATCCACGTGGCAAACATAAAGCCTGCCATTATAGATCTGCAAGTTGGTATACCAGTCGGATTTGTCTGTGAAAATATGTGGGATTTTATATTTATATTTAATTAATATTATTCCGTGCTTTATTCGACAGGTCACATCCAGACACAGAAGGAACGATGCACTGTGGATCAACAAACACAGTAGGTGCATGCCAGAAGAAGCCCACTTCTTTGCGTAAATTTTACACAAAAGGGTCTTTCACGATTCACGCGTGCAGGCCGGTGTGTTGTGCAACAACAGCTGCTTGCACTCGCCACTTGCCACACCAGGTTGGAGCACCGTTAAAAACATCCCGGGCAGTCACGGCGCTGCTTTGCTGAGATACCCACACGAACTTGCAACGCTTTACTTCAGCAGGCGCATTCACGCATTCGCCCCCATCCCACCGCATATTGCACACCTGGGCGCGGATATTTGAATGTATGCCGCCTCCACACACGTGCGCTTCTCATTTGGTGAAGCGTTGCCTCTAATCCAGGAAACCTGTCAGCTTATATATTGTTAATTAACGGGCAACACCTGTCATCGCAGGAGCGTGATCACGGTCTGGTTTTTTAGGAAAGCAGGTGAAGCAGATGGCGCCAAGAAGCATTCTAGGAAACATCCGTAGCGCTGGGAGGCAGCACTAGGTCACTGAATCAACATCGGGTGGGGTCAAGATGCGAGTGAAAATTCCCAAGTTCATAATCCAGATGACAGCCATGAGATGCAATGCTCTCGTCAAACGAAGGTGGATGGTGCATGTATTTAAGGATTGTGGATGTGAACATGCGGTGACCGGATGCAACCAATTTCATGACAAACAACAACTAACTGTGTTCATCTTTTCACGGTTAGCCTTGGGGTTCAATGGGGCCTCAGTCAGGCAGGACCTGGTGTCGGGTGCTCCTCTGGGGCAACACGCAGTTCGCGTTTGTAAATAGAAAGGGTGATGCCAGGATCTTCTCATTATCATCCCACGTTTGGTGACGATTCCCTCAGGTGCTTCGATGGGGATACTTTCAGGGTGGAATACTCTCTTGCTTTGGGCCTACATCTCCCTACATAGCTAGTCCTTCTGACCCATACCAACCATAGACACCCTGCAGAAGAAAACATGCTTACGACCGTTAGCACGCACAAACGCGAACATTAAAACTTTAAATAATAATGAAAGAGCTTGGATTAAATTTGATTGTCCCCACGCCGCGGCAACTACCCTTCATTCAAAGTAATCCTCATCATCACTCCTGCCACTTCCTCCAAATAGAGTTTGCTACAAGCAGTTTGCCATCGGTAATCAATGTCATACCCACGACTTCCCCCACTATGCAATTCCACCACGATCAATTAACCCTCGCTACGTACACGGCACCATGTCAAACGAGAATTCCAAGAGCGTTCGCGACTCGCATTACAGCTTCTCTGCCCTCGCCAGGCCACCTGCAGCCACTCCTCGGCGATGTTCACCACCCTATATTACATCTGTATTATCCAAATTAACAACGGAACTATTGAAAATAAATATTCACTCAATTATTCTGCTTTTACTCCGCCGGACGAGCAATTAACGAATCGTGCATACGAGATATCATGAAATATTTCTACAACTTGTCATTCGGGAAACAATTGAAATGCACTTACCGGATAAATGAGTCAGAATGATATAGCGATTACCTTGGTGACGTCTGGTCTTGCGACAATTGATACTAGGAAGACGGCACGAGGTGCATCGTCCCAGGCGAATCCGCGCTTGCACATTCCCCCTCAGCCATTGTCGACTACCAAAGCTGCTACTTCGTGTTCCACAATAGTCTTTTGTTAGCGATGAAGTGCTGCAAAGAAGATACCCACTGTCATTGACCCAACTCTTCGAAAACGTGCGAAAAAAGTTCATCTGCTCACGAGTATCACTGTACGTTGGCGCGCTTTTTGTTCGTCCACCGCCCTTTGCAGCCGGCGGTTTCCTGCGCTGCAGTGGGGCAACGTGCCAAAAGACCGGTTACATGTATGCATGTAGATTCTGCTACTTTCGCCTTTCTCAAAACAGCCGACCGAGCTTTGCATGCACCCAACATTCTGGCTAACAGAACCACCTATAACAAATTAAAAATCTTGCAAGCATAAAAAACTTTAAAGGTTTGCCGCGCCAGCGTAATACGTACAAGAGGAGACTCAGTAACCGTTTCATTCGTTTGCTGTCCTTCGAGGAACTGGGGAGCGGTGATACGGGTTTGCATACCGGGTATAAACCCCAGTACAATGCACCCGAGCCGCCATGACTAAGCTCGCACGTAACCGTGGTAACAGCGAGCAAGGCGAAGAAGACATATAAGGTTTATGTCATCACGTTACCCTGCCGCCAGCAGACCGCCGCGGCGCCGCCTCCACGCTTAATTAAGGTATAGGCAAGCACGGTGAGTGCACGAGTGCGCGTAGTCCAGTGTGCACTTTAGCCGTTCGTGAATTAAAAATCTTGATTAATGAAGAAATGTATGTGACACTTGCCCCCCGAATTGTATCGTGATTTCAATTTTTTGCAGGGATTTTTATTTATCAGAAACGGGTTATCATGATTTCTTAAACAGTCAAACGTTTAGTTTTAGTACCGACCACCAGCCTATGGCCAGATATATTATACTATACTATATCAAGGGTCGTGTACAGAGGGGGGTCCAGGTGGCGTACCGGACCCCCCTGCTCGGCGCAAGGAAAACGGCATTAAGGGGGTCTAATTCAAAAAATTATCTGGCGGGAGGGCCCCAGATCCCCCTTCGCAATGCTCTGCAGTTTTGTCGACAAAATCCCTGTAACCAGCGCCCCTGATATAGTATAACTTTTACAAACGACACTCCTAGTCCTAATGAGCCCTATGCGTGCTAGTATAGATTCCGTCCACAACGTTTCCTTGATCTCTCAATCTCGTCTGCACGTATTATTTTCACGTGCTGCTTTATATTTATGAATGCATGCAAGCGCATGCGCACTTAGTTGTCATTCAAAATTTCCATGAACTCACCGCTGAACATTTTTGGCGGTTGTCATCACTATATCAGAGGCTTAGTCATCCACGACTACCCGGATGCCTCCTTAAATAGTTAATTACTACTACACATGACACGTGTTACATAGTATATCACGCTCAAGCACCATGAACGTTATACACGCTGTATACTAATTTCCCTTTACATTGCGTTCTAGGGTGATACTCCATTAGGAGTGTTCCCAACTTTAATGTCATTAATAGTCATAATAACATATGATCAAGAGCTAATAATACCTATACCTAGGTATTATTAGCTCTTGATATGATATATATATATATAACATTAATCATAAATGATATCAAAGTTGGGAACACTCCTAATGGGGCGTTAGCTGCGTTCTATTTACTCATAGGTATGGATTCATGATAACACCTGCTGATTGATAATCGTGGGTGTTAATTGCGCGATTAGCGCACGTATACGTCTTTAGCATATGTTACAGACACTTCCCTATGACCTCAGCCATATAGCTGGTGCGACACAAGGAATTACCATGAACCTATAAGGGCAAAGATAAATATATAGGCAAGACAATCTATAAAGGCAAGATAATGTCATATTAAAGGTATTCTTCATAGTGTAACCAGTAGGAATGCTTACGATAACACCTACCGACCGAGCTAGGGGCGTGTGTGTGTTTTGTGACTGGGTCTATGTCGAGGACAAAACCCCGTGGTAATGCATTAATGTGCATTAATTACTACTTCAATTGATAACTATCAATCGATAATATAATGATTATATTTTGGTACAGAGCAAATAAATAAATTAATAAGTTAATATATCATAATAGCAGCTCGTAAACTCTGCGTTTTGGCCGAACGAAGAAATGCAACGAAACAATTATTTAAATTAATTCAATTTGAATTTACTCTAATGGTCATATAACGTGCGTGGATAAGTAAACGTGATCTTCTCAATGGGTTATTCACCTAGAATACATTTCTACACGTAATTATAGCTAGACGAATAGCCTGTATTCGCCATATATTATTCGCGCAATTCACTGAGAACTGGTCGTAGAATGTGCATGGCCGTATGTATTTGAGAGCTCGGAGGGCGGATCTGTACTCTTGAGGTGTACGCGCATATTCCTAGACTGTGTCCGTCATCGTTGTAAATCGACGCGACTGACCGCAGAGACTTTGGTGTTGGTGCCAGTAAATATTGCCCGCAGACGATTCGATAGTGTACGTGTTATTAAAGATTAATAAGGTTATCAATCGATGATCATGTGCCAATACATTACGTATATATATATATAGCGAGAGAGAGAGAGAGAGAGAGAGAGA